ATGTGTCCCTGGTCATGTGACGTGTCCCTGGTCAAGTGATGCATCGTGTCCCTGGTCATGTGATGCATCGTGTCCCTGGTCATGTGATGTGTCCCTGGTCATGTGATGCATCGTGTCCCTGGTCATGTGACGTGTCCCTGGTCATGTGATGCATCATGTCCCTGGTCAAGTGATGCATCGTGTCCCTGGTCATGCATCGTGTCCCTGGTCATGTGACGTGTCCCTGGTCATGTGATGCAGCGTGTCCCTGGTCATGTGATGCATCGTGTCCCTGGTCATGTGACGTGTCCCTGGTCATGTGATGCATCGTGTCCCTGGTCAAGTGATGCATCGTGTCCCTGGTCATGTGACGTGTCCCTGGTCATGTGATGCAGCGTGTCCCTGGTCATGTGACGTGTCCCTGGTCATGTGATGCATCGTGTCCCTGGTCATGTGATGCATCGTGTCCCTGGTCAAGTGATGCATCGTGTCCCTGGTCAAGTGATGCATCGTGTCCCTGGTCATGTGACGTGTCCCTGGTCATGTGATGCAGCGTGTCCCTGGTCATGTGACGTGTCCCTGGTCATGTGATGCATCGTGTCCCTGGTCATGTGATGCATCGTGTCCCTGGTCAAGTGATGCATCGTGTCCCTGGTCAAGTGATGCATCGTGTCCCTGGTCAAGTGATGCATCGTGTCCCTGGTCAAGTGATGCATCGTGTCCCTGGTCATGTGATGCATCGCGTCCCTGGTCATGTGATGCATCGCGTCCCTGGTCATGTGACGTGTCCCTGGTCATGTGATGCATCGTGTCCCTGGTCATGTGATGCATCGTGTCCCTGGTCATGTGACGTGTCCCTGGTCATGTGATGCATCGTGTCCCTGGTCATGTGACGTGTCCCTGGTCATGTGATGCATCGTGTCCCTGGTCATGTGACGTGTCCCTGGTCATGTGATGCATCGTGTCCCTGGTCATGTGATGCATCGCGTCCCTGGTCATGTGATGCATCGTGTCCCTGGTCATGTGACGTGTCCCTGGTCATGTGATGCATCGTGTCCCTGGTCATGTGATGCATCGTGTCCCTGGTCATGTGATGCGTCGTGTCCCTGGTCATGTGATGCATCGTGTCCCTGGTCATTTGACGTGTCCCTGGTCATGTGATGCATCGTGTCCCTGGTCATGTGACGTGTCCCTGGTCATGTGATGCGTCGTGTCCCTGGTCATGTGATGCAGCGTGTCCCTGGTCATGTGATGCATCGTGTCCCTGGTCATGTGATGCATCGCGTCCCTGGTCATGTGATGCATCGCGTTCCTGGTCATGTGACGTGTCCCTGGTCATGTGATGCATCGTGTCCCTGGTCATGTGACGTGTCCCTGGTCATGTGATGCATCGTGTCCCTGGTCATGTGACGTGTCCCTGGTCATGTGATGCATCGTGTCCCTGGTCATGTGATGCATCGCGTCCCTGGTCATGTGATGCGTCGCGTCCCTGGTCATGTGATGCGTCGTGTCCCTGGTCATGTGATGCATCGTGTCCCTGGTCATGTGATGCATCGTGTCCCTGGTCATGTGACGTGTCCCTGGTCATTTGATGCATCGTGTCCCTGGTCATGTGACGTGTCCCTGGTCATGTGATGCAGCGTGTCCCTGGTCATGTGATGCATCGTGTCCCTGGTCATGTGATGCATCGCGTCCCTGGTCATGTGATGCATCGCGTCCCTGGTCATGTGATGTATCGTGTTTCTGGTCATGTGATGCGTCGTGTCCCTGGTCATGTGATGCATCGTGTCCCTGGTCATGTGATGCGTCGTGTCCCTGGTCATGTGATGCGTCGTGTCCCTGGTCAAGTGATGCGTCGTGTCCCTGGTCATGTGACTTGTCCCTTGTTATGTGATGCATCGTGTCCCTGGTCATGTGATGTATCGTGTCCCTGGTCATGTGATGCGTCGTGTCCCTGGTCATGTGATGCATCGTGTCCCTGGTCATGTGATGCATCGTGTCCCTGGTCATGTGATGTATCGTGTCCCTGGTCATGTGATGCGTCGTGTCCCTGGTCATGTGACGTGTCCCTTGTTATGTGATGCATCGTGTCCCTGGTCATGTGATGTATCGTGTCCCTGGTCATGTGATGCGTCGTGTCCCTGGTCATGTGACGTGTCCCTGGTCATGTGATGCATCGTGTCCCTGGTCATGTGACTTGTCCCTTGTTATGTGATGCATCGTGTCCCTGGTCATGTGATGCGTCGTGTCCCTGGTCATGTGATGCGTTGTATCTCTGGTCATGTGATGTGTCCCTGGTCATGTGATGTGTCCCTGGTCATGTGATGCGTCGTGTCCCTGGTCATGTGATGCATTGTGTCCTTGGTCATGTGATGCATTGTGTCCCTGGTCATGTGATGCATTGTGTCCCTGGTCATGTGATGCATTGTGTCCCTGGTCATGTGACAGGCGTTCGAGGACGTGCACCTTCATCAGTGGCCTCTGTTAAAGAAGGTTCTTCATCGAGCCGATCAGCTGTTCACCCTCCTCTTCCTCAGCGAGATGCTCCTCAAGTGGAGCGCCTTCGGACTGAGCAAGTACTTCAGAGACGGCTGGTGCTGCCTCGACTTCCTGGTCCTCCACGTGAGACTCTATGAACATATATATATATATATATATCTAATGATGACAGGAAGTTGTGATTGTTGTATATTAATAACAGGAAGTACTCATTTGGCATTGCAGGTGTTCCTGGTGTCTCTCGGGGTTGAGATCTTTGGGTTCGGTTCTCTCGGGTTCTTCCTGTTTCTGAGGAGCCTCCGAGCTCTGGGGCCCCTGAGGATCCTGTCTCACTTCCAGGGCGTGAGGGTGAGACATGACTTAATTCAACCTCCCCTTGTCTGTCTCCACCTGTCTGTCTGTACCTGTCTGTCTGTACCTGTCTGTCTGTACCTGTCTGTCTCCACCTGTCTGTCTGTACCTGTCTGTCTGTACCTGTCTGTCTGTACCTGTCTGTCTGTACCTGTCTGTCTCCACCTGTCTGTCTGTACCTGTCTGTCTCACCTGTCTGTCTGTACCTGTCTGTCTGTACCTGTCTGTCTGTACCTGTCTGTCTGTACCTGTCTTCCCACCTGTCTGTCTGTACCTGACTGTCTGTACCTGTCTGTCTGTACCTGTCTGTCTGTACCTGTCTGTCTGTACCTGTCTGTCTCCACCTGTCTGTCTGTACCTGTCTGTCTGTACCTGTCTGTCTGTACCTGTCTGTCTCCACCTGTCTGTCTGTACCTGTATGTCTGTACCTGTCTGTCTGTACCTGTCTGTCTGTACCTGTCTGTCTCCACCTGTCTGTCTGTACCTGTCTGTCTCCACCTGTCTGTCTCCACCTGTCTGTCTCCACCTGTCTGTCTGCACCTGTCTGTCTCCCCCTGGCTGTCTCCACCTGTCTGTCTGCACCTGTCTGTCTCCCCCTGTCTGTCTCCACCTGTCTGTCTCCACCTGTCTGTCTGCATCAGTCTGTCTCCACCTATCTGTCTGCATCTGTCTGTCTCTACCTGTCTGTCTCCACCTGTCTGTCTCCACCTGTCTGTACCTTTCTGTCTGCATCTGTCTGTCTGCATCTGTCTGTCTCCACCTGTCTGTCTCCACCTGTCTGTCTCCACCTGTCTGTCTCTCACCTGTCTGTCTCCACCTGTCTGTCTCCACCTGTCTGTCTCCACCTGTCTGTCTCCACCTGTCTGTCTCCACCTGTCTGTCTCCACCTGTCTTACTGTACCTGTCTGTCTGTACCTGTCTGTCTGTCTCCACCTGTCTGTCTGTCTCCACCTGTCTGTCTCCACCTGTCTGTCTGCACCTGTCTGTCTGTACCTGTCTGTCTGTCTCCACCTGTCTGTCTCCCCCTGTCTGTCTCCACCTGTCTGTCTGTACCTGTCTGTCTGCATCTGTCTGTCTCCACCTGTCTGTCTGCATCTGTCTGTACCTGTCTGTCTGTACCTGTCTGTCTGTCTCCACCTGTCTGTCTCCACCTGTCTGTCTGCATCTGTCTGTACCTGTCTGTCTGTCTCCACCTGTCTGTCTCCACCTGTCTGTCTGTACCTGTCTGTCTGCATCTGTCTGTCTCCACCTGTCTGTCTCCACCTGTCTGTCTCCACCTGTCTGTCTCCACCTGTCTGTCTCCATCTGTCTGTCTGCATCTGTCTGTCTCCACCTGTCTGTCTCCACCTGTCTGTCTCCACCTGTCTGTCTCTCACCTGTCTGTCTCCACCTGTCTGTCTCCACCTGTCTGTCTCCACCTGTCTGTCTCCACCTGTCTGTCTCCACCTGTCTGTCTCCCCTGTCTGTCTCCACCTGTCTGTCTGTACCTGTCTGTCTGTCTCCACCTGTCTGTCTCCACCTGTCTGTCTGCACCTGTCTGTCTGTACCTGTCTGTCTGTCTCCACCTGTCTGTCTCCCCCTGTCTGTCTGTACCTGTCTGTCTGCATCTGTCTGTCTGACACCTGTCTGTCTGCATCTGTCTGTACCTGTCTGTCTGTACCTGTCTGTCTGTCTCCACCTGTCTGTCTCCACCTGTCTGTCTGCATCTGTCTGTACCTGTCTGTCTGTCTCCACCTGTCTGTCTCCACCTGTCTGTCTCCACCTGTCTGTCTGCATCTGTCTGTACCTGTCTGTCTGTACCTGTCTGTCTGTCTCCACCTGTCTGTCTCCACCTGTCTGTCTCCACCTGTCTGTCTCCACCTGTCTGTCTCCACCTGTCTGTCTCCACCTGTCTGTCTCCACCTGTCTGTCTCCACCTGTCTGTCTCCACCTGTCTGTCTGCATCTGTCTGTCTCCACCTGTCTGTCTCCACCTGTCTGTCTCCACCTGTCTGTCTCCACCTGTCTGTCTTCACCTGTCTGTCTTCACCCGTCTGTCTCCACCCGTCTGTCTCCACCCGTCTGTCTCCACCCGTCTGTCTCCACCCGTCTGTCTCCACCCGTCTGTCTCCACCCGTCTGTCTCCACCCGTCTGTCTCTCACCTGTCTGTCTCCACCTGTCTGTCTCCACCT